GACGCACAAAAAATCTGGTGCAGATAGGATAATGTATCATTGAGATATAACTGTTGGAATAATGTAGGGGCACACTAGAGTCATACGTTAAACCATAATATCAATGTGTCTAAAAGTCCTCACTGATGACGCACAATAAATCTGGTGCAGATTGGATGTTTTATCACTGAGCTATAACTGTAGGAATAATGTAGGTTGCGCTGTGGAGGCTATTGGCCACTTATCATGGATAACTGTTCATCATCGGGTGGATAATGATCGATCATAGTGATTTTGGTGCACTTCGGCTGAAATCTGTGCAATTTAGAGTCAAACGTATGGTGACGGCGTTACGTCTTACTTCGCCGTGCCGCGCTGCCCACATGCTCCACCCCAAACTGTCCGTGTTGGAAAGCAAGTTACACCAACATGTCTTCAGTCACTGGACACACTATCATGCTGATCAGGTAACAGGGGTCAGATAGGGATTGTTCAACGTAAAACTTTATACTTCTTATTGTCAGGGGGCGTGGCTTAAGTGATGTCATGATTTGACCATTCAGTCTTGCAGGGGACCATTTGTGGATCAATCACTGAAGGTTTGATGTCTCAGACAGTTTTCGTGTAGGAGCTATTAGCGTTTCGTTTTTCATTGCGAGCTGTCAAACTTTGAGGTCTGGCCCCGCCCCTTCAACATGCTCCGAAATGAACCGTTTAGATAACTTTGCGTCCCCCATGCCTTTTGACCAAAATGGCCAAGTTTGAAACCGACTGAGCAAAATCCCTAGGAGGAGTTTGTTTCAAATGCGTAGGCTGTAAACCGCCAAAAAGGTGTGAAAATTGGGCCAGCTTTCCAAAATAGCCACCTTCCTGTTTATCGTACAATGTTGGTGCCAGAGGGTTTTCTGTGCATCTTGGTGAATTGTACAAGTGTACCAAATTTCATGTTTCTATGACAAACTCAGGTTAATGCGGAGGGTATTTTGAAAATTTCTAGGTGGCGCTCTTGAGCTGTTTCTGTAGCGATTTTTGCCACGCCCTTAAAATACGTAATTTTTCACCAGTCCTGCCTTCGCAGCGCTTCGCTGCTTGGGCCTAAATACAATAAATAAAGTGGAAATAACAAAACCACCTTCAAAGCCTTGCGTTCAAAGAAATATTCCCAGAAGCCTCTCTGAGGGCCCTGCCTGCTTTTGCAAGTTGCTCTGTGCTGTGACAGGAGCGTCACTCACACAGACGGTTTGTATCTTTGATGAAACCACAGCCGTGCATACAGGAGAGAAACTGAAGCTAAAGTATCGATCTTATTACACTGGTATTGATCAATATCAATAACCATGTTGGTATTGATATTATCAATTTTTGGCTCGATCCGCCCACCCCTACTGAACTTCTCACCTGACACAGTCTGTCCTCGTCTGTTTTTGTATTTCTGTCTGCCCCTTCTGCTTGTGTCATTCTGTTCCGTGTGTTTTTTGACTCAGTATTTTCTCAGTTTCCACTCACTCCTCAGCCTGCCTCTCCAGCCTCCAGCTAATTATCCACACCTGTCTTTAATCTACTTCCTGCCCTGGCTTACTCATTACTTACTCTCCTTCTGCCTTATTTAAAGCTCTCCTCTCCTCTCCATTGTTCTGTTTTGTACGGACGACTCAGTTCTCCTCCGTTCTCCTCCGTTCCTGTATCTGTCTCCGCCTGTAACCTGTGTTCTCGTACCAGCTCGCCTGATGTTAGTTTTTGTTTAGTTTATGCTCGTCCCTGTGTTTGAGTAAGATTTTGCTGCCTCGTCAGCCTTTTTGTTTTGTTGTTTAAATAAATTATTTGATATAAACTCCTGCCTCGCTCGCCTGCCTGCCAATGGGTCTAAAACACGAGGATCGTGTGATCATCCTGTCTCTAAGAGAGAGTCCAGCTACCCTGCAGAGGAAACTCATTTCAACCTCCTGTATCCACGATCTCATCCTTTCAGTCACTAGCCAGAGTTCATGACCATAGATGAGGGTAAGAACATAGACTGACTAACAAACAGAGAGCTTTGCCTTGTAGCTCAGCTCCCTCTTCACCACAACAGACCGGCACAGAGTCTGCAATACTGCAGATGCTGCACCAATCCATTCTTCAGAGTCCATACCTCATTCTCCATTTGCTCAGAGTCCAAGAGTTTCTGGATGAGTCAAACGTGTTGGATCATCCTCGCTACCAGGAGGAGGCATTTTCAATGTACACTAAATAATAATAATAATAATAATAATAATAATAATAAAACAAAATAATACTGTGCAGTTTCTATGCACACTACTTAACGTTATAGGATGTTTATTTGTACGGCCAGGATCAATGTAAAGGTATGTCCTTGTTTTGTTTTCTTCCTAAAACTCATTCTCTGTGTGATGGTCTGTCTCAAGTGTTTGTAGTTTATCATGATTATTGGCAAATTCCAATCCTCCACAGAATTATAACAACAGCAACATCTCGTTATTTACATTTAGTTTTAATTTATTTTAATTGATTTAATTATTTAATTCATTTATATATTTGGCTATCTATATGTTCTAGGCTTATTTATACTGAGAACCAAACTGTAATGTAACGTTACTGTTATAAATGTAATTTAATAATCAAATACAAAAAGTAAATTAGATTAATTGACTAACAGCGTTGAAATCTTTAAAAAAAATGTGTGTACTTTAAGTGAAATAAAGCTGTTTTAAGGCAGAACTCTATCAGTCATGCAAATATAAATGGCAATTTTTAAGTTATTCTGTACTGTGCAAAGAACTACTTGCACTATTATTTTTAATACTTCACCTCAATGAATATAAAAGTTTTATAAAGGAAAAAAATGCCTTTCAATGTCAACTCATAAATTAAATTTATTCAAACTTGAGAACTTTATTGTAATAAAAACAACCTCATTCAAATGAAATTATGTTTGAATAAAGTTGAAATACCAAACAATTAGGAATACTTAATAACTGTGTGTATGGTTTAATGAAAAACTAGGGTAAAACATTAATGTTTCAGACACACTAACCTGGTTCAGTGCAGTTCCTCTCAGGTTCGGAGTAGAGTTTCAACTTGTCTTCTTGTAAAAGGTGACGACTCTCCCACCTGGCCTCCTCCACAACCAAGGAGCTGGAAACATATCCTTAAAGGGAAAAGAAGAAGACATAAGAAAAAGATTGGGATAAACCATCAGACCTACCATCTCCAAAGTATCTGAACCCAAGAAAAGTGACTTAGTGAAAGAACATGTTTGTAGTTACATTGTCTAAAGATGAAAATTAGATAATCACTTTCTTTATTTACCAATCAAAAGTCAAAAGAACAAGTAAATAAAACTCCTGAAAACTCCAAACCCCTTAATATTATTATTATTATGTTAACAAAAACTAATGCCAGACAATATATACAACCCCATATCCAAAAAGTCAGGACATTGTGTAACATGTAAATCTTCATTTTCCTTTGGTTGTTCCCTCTTAAGGGGTCTCCACAGCAAGTCATTCTCCTCCATCTCTGTCCTCTGCATCCCCTGTCCTCACTCCAACTACCTCCATGTCCTCTCTAACTGCATCCATATATCTCCCCTTTGTCTTTTTCCTGGCAGCTGCATTTCTAACATCTTTCTACCAAAATACCCACTGTCCCTCCTCTGGACATGTCTAAACCATCTCAGTTTGGTCTCTCTAACTTTATCTACCAGTTGTTCAGCCTGTGCTGTACCTCTGATGATCTCATTCTTCTCCATCCTTGTCACTCCTAAGGAGAACCTCAACAACTAAACATCTTTAGCTTTGTCATCTCCAGTTCTTTCTCCTGTGTTTATGGCAGTGCCACATTCTGCAAACCATACAGCATAGCTGGTCTCACTTCTCACTTGTAAATCACACCAGAAACTTTTTTTATCCACTCCATCCTGCCTGGACTCTATTCTTTACAACTTTACCACAGTGCCTGTTTTCCTGGAAAATCGACACCAAGTACTGCACCTCTCAAAGTTCTTTTCCACCTAATATCTATTCTTACCATTGATCACAATGTCATCTGCATACCTCCACAGTATACATCAACATAGGAGTAGTCATAAATGGCTGGAAGCAAAACTAATTTGCCATTCATTTTTTTTAAAACCTTTTTGTTAGTGTGCATGAAAAACACATATTTGATTCCATCCATCCATTATCTTTTACCCGCTTCTTCCATTTTGGGTCACGGGGATCACCGGTGCCCATGTCCAGCAATCACTGTGCGAGGGGCGGGGTACACCCTGGACGGGTTGCAAGTCCATCACAGGGACACATAGAGACAAACAACCATTCACTCTCTCACTCACACCTAGGGACAATTTAGAGTTACCAATCAGCCTAACATGCATGTTTTTGGTCTGTTGGAGGAAACCGGAGTACCCGGAGAAAACCCACGCATGCACAGAGAGAACATGCAAACTCCACCCAAAAAGGCCCCCGGACCAGGATTTGAACCAGGGACCTGCTCGCTGAGAGGAAGCAGCTCTACCAGTTGCACAACTGTGCTGCCCCAAATTTGATTCCGTTTGTTATGATTTCAGAGGAGCTTGGAACCCTATTGAGACCAGTTTGAGAACCAGTTCTCATTTACAATAAAATGGCTGCATAGACCAGTTTTTCATCAAACGAATCATAAATCACAGGTAAAGCGACCACATCCCATTCAGGTGTGAGCTTTGAGCGCAACCAAAAGGGGCAGAGCAGAACTCAGCTGGGCTGAAAGCGAGCACTATGCATGTCGAACATCTCCTTCCTGTCATTTACTATAATTAATTAACTCACTTAATCCATCCTGTTTGTGCTAACATATTTTTTAAACTAAGTACAAAGCTGATGTGTGTCATCATCAATATTCCCCCAATAATAAATTTGTTTGTTGTTTAATCTCGCTCGCAGGAAATCAGACATTGATATGATCAGTTTATCAGAACTCCCCACACAGTGAGAAAGAGAGAAAGCACCCCATGAGAGTGCACAGCCTTTCAACTCGTGTTTCTGCTAATTTAATTCTTATAATTAAAACAATAATTTATAAAATCCATCCATTGTCTTTACCCGCTTCTTCCTTTCTGGTCACTGGTGCCCATGTTCAGGTATTACTGTGCGAGGGGCAGGGGACACCCTGGACAGGTCTCCAGTTCATCACAGGGACACATAGAGACAAACAACCATTCACCCTTTCACTCACACCTAGGGACAATTTAGAGTTACCAATCAGTCTAACATGCATGTTTTTGATTGGTGGCAGAAAACTGGAGAACCCAGAGAAAACCCACACATGCACGAAGAGAACATGCAAACTCCACCCAGAAAGGCCCCCGACCGGGATGTGAACCAGTGTAACCTGCTCGCTGAGATGCAGCAGCTCTACCTACTGCACCACCATGCTGCCCATAATTTATAATAATTCATTTTTAATTAGCAAGACAAGATGGGGTAAACTAAATATTGTAGGTTCTAGATCCCCCCAACACACACATATTAAATAACGCAATTTTTTCTCAAGCCCCTGAGGACAAATTTTTCAAATAGAAAAAAAAAAAAGCTAATAATATTTAGTGTATTGTATTGCAGGGGGAGGTGGAGGAGGAGTGGTGGCACAGAGGCTAGAGAAGGTGGGCCTGTGATCAGAAGATCGCCGGTTCAAGCCCCGGTACCGACAACATCAAAAATGTGGGTGGGGTAGGTGAAGCCCCGCCCCCATTTGTCCCACCCTCGGCCCTTGAGCACGCTCCCCAACCCCCACCATCCGCCACCCTGGGTGTCCCCTCTGTGGCTGTGGTAGCTCGGTGGTCTATGGTTACGTCAGGAAGGGCATCTGGCATAAAAATAACTGCCAAGTCTTAGTGCGACTTAGTTCGCTGTAGCGACCCCTAACGCAGGGAGCAGCCGAAAGAAGAAGAAGGAGAAAAAAGTACTGTATTGCAATTAAAATACATTGAAAAATGTGAACAATTGTTTATTTTTCAAACAATAACTCCATTTTTAGATCATGACAGCCTGGAAAACATCCCAGCCTATTTTCATAGTGGTTGGAAATAGAGGAGCTAATCAACAAGCATTAAGCTATTTACATGTCATCCCTTCCAAAGTAGAGCTGTCATTTCTAACCCAAACCCGAAACCCGGCCCAGACCGACCTGGATTCGGACCGGGCCGGGCCATAATAATGTGTTTAATGTGTGGGCGGGGTCGGTGTCTGGCTTTTAATTGCGCTATGGACGCACGCAGCTGACGATCCAATATATGCAACCATGGCTTGCCATACCGCACCTGCTGCATGCAGCCATTTGTCTGCGTGCTGACCGGCCAGTTGAAAGAGGTAAAATGTTCAGTTAAGCTTCCGATGGACTACTGCCAGCAATCCATCAGCCCAAATGGACGTTCATTCAGTCGCTGCACTCAGCGGACGTGCAGGGCCGACGACCCAAACAAGTGACATCACAAAATATCCTACTTGTCAGAGCAGGATGCAGGCAGAAGCATTTAATGCACTTTGACGGCTCCTCAGCTCTGATCTTCTGCCCCCTCAGCCGCGTGCATCCGCCAACCGTTAATAATAGTCGGTGGTATAAGCAGTCAAACTTAATTAAAATGTTTGTTTTTTTTCGGGTTCAGACCTGTAAATACTGTTAATTTGTTGGATCGAGTGGGGTTTGGAGATGATGGCTGCGGGCTGGGGCCGGGTCGGTTCGGATTATTTGGACATGAGTGCAGCTCTACCATAAAGTAATAAAAAAGCAAAATGCCAGAAGTTTGGAAATGTTTGGAAAAAAAATCAAACTATATGTCCAGTAGGTTTAAACCCATTAAGACAAATATGTGACTTAGAAAATATTTTTGTTGTGTATCATCAACAAGCCATACACCCTGGACAGGTCTCAATCCATCACATGAACACCTGGACAGGTCTCCAGTCCATCATAGTGACACTTGGACAGGTCTCCAGTCCATCACAGAAACATCTGGACTGGTCTCCGCCCATCAGAGGAACACCTGGACAGGTCTCAATCCATCACAGGAACACCTGGACAG